AATATACCATTTTCACATCAGCTATTATTGCTTATTTCAACCCATGATTTGTGATATATGACCTGCGGTGACAATGCAGAGAGGTCGCTTCTTGGATAAATGATGCCCGAACTGTGAAAAAAATTGTGTGAGAACAGCACACGGAGGTTCAATAATCAAATACCGTACAGGCTACGTAATCTCCACACCGGATTTCTATCACTTCATCTAATGACAGTTTCCGACAGGTTGGTACCAGATTTTCAGCGTTGATTACTTTATGTCTGATTTCATTACATAACTCATCAGTCAATTCGTGATCCCCGGGTATTCTTGCCGGTGGGTGCAGCTTGTGTGGTTTGCGGGATGAATCTGCGGGAGTCGTCGATGTCGATTCTGAGGTATTTTATTCACCGTGTTGGTGTGATTGTTTTGTCATTTCAGGAGAGTTGCAGGACTTTGGTAACGTCAGAGACTTTGTGGTGGCTTGCACTGGGGAGACAGTGGAGTAGGTCTGTCTTGTCTGGGGAGAGGTTGAGTCCAAGGTGTTTACCACATTCGGTGCAGTGTTCGGTCTGAGTTTCCAGTCGATCTATTGCGAACTTTCGGGAGTTGGCCGACTGCAGGAGGCCGGTGTTATCGACATAGGAGGGTCTTCGCCAAATAAACAGGTGCATACATCCTGAGTTGAATCAGCCTTTGTTTCTGCCAAATTTCCGAATGCCGAGCCACCGTTTGAAGTTTGCATTGTGGTCCGCTTTGATGTAGAATAAGTGGTGGAAGAGCTGACTGTCTGGACTACCACTTTCGAACACCTGTTATCTCCGATCCCGCATTCAGAAACACGCTGCCTCACAGAATCCGTGAACATCACGACGACGTCTACACCACCTACAGCAATCACCTCCGAAGGAATATCATTGCTAAAATCTGCGTTATCACTCAGATCAGTAACCCTGCCACCATCACCGGCATCAGTTGTATCGGTGACATTACCACCAGCACTACAACCACCACTTCAAGAATCACGGCTAACTTTGAATCTACGTTCTATAAATCTAGCATAGCGGATCAACTCGTCTCACCTGCTACTTGTTGACTCTCCAGACGTCGCATCATCATATTCAGCCCGGAATGAATCATACACAATCTCTCAGTCATTCACCGAAGCAGGAACCGTTACTTCTGCATCCTATTCTGGATAACTACGAATCTTCATCATGCTATTGGTGTTTTCTTGAATTTTCATTGTTTCTCATTGGCAAAAAATGCTGCTCCCGCCACTTTACCCCGTTCCAACGAGCATCCATCTATATATGCCTATCTTTCTAGCCAATGTATTTACTGTTGAATATTTTTGTTATGTCTTGCACATGCGGTGTTCCGGCGCGGATCACCGAGTGACATCACGTGATGGAATCTTCCAGAAGGTCCTATGACACACGAGTTGCAACGGGAGACAACACAGAAGGTTCTAGATGTATCATGTGAATTTGTACTCTTCGAGTTGTTTCTTTTATTCTATTTGTTTCTATGAGTGATGTCACTCATCCTGTACAAATTGTCTTGGATCTTATGTATTTAAGCTGCCTGAGATCTCCGCTCAGTTGTAGAATAGAATGAACAATCATGACTGTCTTTTCATACACTTCAACATTTACAGGCAGCACTTTTATTACACATACTTTCTGTCATATTCGCATAGATCTTCCTGTTTGCATTTTGAGCATTTCCATTATTTTGCGTGCGATAGGGTGCATCTGCGAGTAATGTTTGGTTGTATACAGTGGTGGAAACCTGACTACTCCTCGGCTTCATCGCCTCACCGCACCATACACCGTTCGTCACCAGTCGCGAGTTATCAACGCAAGATCCACAATTGCATAATCATGGTTCCCAGAAAACAGATGAAAGAATTCAAATGGATAAGATAAATATACAATCTAAATCACGTGGGAAAGTTACATATTTTCCAACTGCGTTTCGCTGCTTGGAGACTCACCAAGTGTCACGTATTGGACCGCCACAGTTAGTCTACATTCTGATTATCCGCTTGGATAGCATGCGTTTTCTTTCCGTTAGTAATACTACGCCCTCCGTCTCTTTGATTTGAACATTCCCAACCTTTGACACTCTCATCTCCACTTGTCCGTCTCTCCTCTTCTCTGACTTCACCCTCAACTTTGTATTGTACTCTTCTCTGACTTCCCCCCTTCATCACGATCCTTCTCCTGTGCCTGTATCCATTCTGCGGTGTCAATCTTGGTAGTAGAGATCATGGTAGTAAAGGGCATTGGTTCCAACGGAAGAGTATAGATAGTATCCACCTGGAGTGGAGCGGGCTTGTCAATTGTCAGTTCCCAGTGCTTCTGGTCTGCTTCATTCTGTTAGTCCGTATTTTTGTAGCCTTCTTCTATCAATCTAGACGCTGGATTTCAACACTCATCACGTTGTGTCTGCTATTACATTTATTGTTGTCCAGATTCCCACTGACAACAATTCCCACTGACAACAATTCCCACTGACAACAATTCCCACTGACAACAATTCTCTCTGACATGCATTCTCTTTGATATGACTTCCCTCTGGCAAATACTTCCCTCTAACATAAAGTCCCTCTGGCATGAATTCCCTCTAGCATAGATTCCTTCTCGCATAAATTCCCTCTTGCATAAATTCCCTCTTGCATAAATTCCCTCTTGCATAAATTCCCTCTTGCATAAATTCCCTCTTGCATAAATTCCCTCTAGCATAAATTCCCTCTGGCATAAATCATAAATCAGAAAACCTCGCCGATTCCACGGTTCGAACACAAGACCTGTGAATCTATAGGGTTAGATCAGGACGGCTGTATTTGGAAACCTACAATATCAATATACCATTCTCACATCAGCCATTATGGCTTACTTCAACCCATGATTTGTGGTATATGACCTGCGGTGACAATGCAGAGGGGTCGCTTCTTGAATAAATGTCGCCCGATATTTGACAAAAGTTGTGTGAGAACAGGACACGGAGGTTCAATAATCAAACCCGAGTGACTTCACATGACTAACCCCTGTTCCAGCGAGCCTCGATCTATGCCCGTCTTTCGAGGCAATGTATTTACAGGCAAGACTTTCATTCCACATACTGTCGGTTTCGGCCGTGTATATTTTCCTTCCTGCATTTTGAACGTTTCCATCATTTTGCGTGGAAAGGGTGCAGCTGCTTAGGTTGTTTGGTTGTCAGCAGTAGCCACTCTCCAGTCTCATTGCCTCGCAGTGGCACCCAGTTGTGAAGTGAAATTCGTAATTGTACAAGTATCCTTTTTATCAAATAAATACGAACAATCAAATGAATAAGATAAATATACAGTCTAAATTACGTGAGAACGTTACATCTTTCCCAACTGCGTTTCGCTGCTTGAAGACCCACGAAGACTCACATACACGACTTTCGCGGATACTCTACATGTCCACAGTCAACCCTCGCAGCCACCTCGCTTCGACCCTACACGTAGAATCACAGTCCCATATTCTCCAAATGAATCAAAAAATAACACGAATCACAAATAAATACTCAAAATAAATAATCCAAAACATCAAATCATCTCATACATAAATACATAAATGCATAAATGCATTTATCCATTGCACGTTCGCTACATGTTGCAAGGTGTCGAGTGCATTCATTCCTCCATCAACCTCCATCATGTGTGCAAAACGAAAGACACGGAATCTTCCGTGTGCAGACCTGCGAGGATTGTAGCCTGATAACCATGTAGTTAGAATGAGCCTATTTGTGTAATCAGATGGCACAGCTTATTTTTATTTGTTTATTCAGGGTGGAGTTGTTTATGGAATCGTGGCAATTTGGGGGAAGGAGGGGGGAAGAGAAGAGCGGATGATGGGAGATTACAAATGAAGGAGGCGGAATTGGCAAAAGTTAAGAGAATAGTACGAACAGATAATGAGGGATGTGGAAAGATAATGAAGAGTATTGGTGAATAAAGCGATGAGAAGGAGTAAGATAATAAAGGATTACGAGGCAATGCGAAAGAGAATTGGACAGTGCATGTGAATAAGGAAGAATGGAAAAACAATCACAAAACACTACGAACGAAGAAGCAGGAATGGGAGGAAAGAATAAAACAGTGCGAAGGAATGAATAGAGGAGAAATGGTGATGAAGATATGGCAGTCAACGTCACCAAGGCAGGATAGAAAACCAACCATAAACCACTACGGACGAAGAAGTAGGAATAGCAAAGCAGAGGCAGGATAATAGGAAAGTAAACATGAATAGACAGACAAGAAAAGGAACCATACAACTACGGATGAAATAGAAGGAATCGGAAGAATAATGAGATGATTCGAGGAACGAAGAAAGGGTGATAAAACAACTACATCGGAAAGAAAGAGGGAATACCAAAAGTGAAAAGCACTCACAATAAGTATGAGGGAATAGAGATAACCGAATAAAGAGTGGTAGAAGAGCAAGCTGAAAACGAGGAGAGATTACCAGAAGGGATCAGTGATCAAGTAAGCAAGAAGAAATTGAAGAGATCAAGAGAGAGAGAGAGGAAGTCACACAATTAATCAGGGACGATGAGAGGGATAATAGAACAGTACAACTGAAAAATTGGGAATTGGAAACGACAGTTAACGAGTACGGAAGGAATGGGAATGATGATAGGAGAAATATATAGTTTGTTAATATATAGTTTATTTTTTTATATAATTTGTTGATATATAGTTTGTTATTATATAGTTTGTGGATATATAGTTTGTGAATATATAGTTTGTTGATTAAATTCATTCGATATTTACAGCGTATTTCTGCATTTTAGTCCAGAAGCATAGTGTAAAATTCGTGCCATGGAGGCTCTGGTGTGGCGATGAGGCCGGGTGACGTTGCCGTGAAGCCGAGTGACCCCACATGAACCGTGATACAGAAACCACCTTCCGCCATCCCACCATCCTTTTGCCAACATTGCAAAGCAACAAATCAAAAAAATACAGCCAGCATTGCAGCAAAAAGAGCCCACGGCTGGAATTGAACCAGCGTCCTTCTCAAAGCTTAACATGACGTTTCGTGCCATCAGTCGGCAGTACTGAGCCTGTCACAAGTGAGATATGATACCACTACACCACGCGGGCACCTGGTTAACCATACATGTCAGAACTAATACTTATGCCCGTCCAAAACAAGGAAAAAAAGCACGTGAAACGATTTACCCTCCCATATGCAGCTCATCTTGCCCATTACCTCCACTTTCAGCGTGCACAATCTGTCACATCCATCACCATGTACTCCCGGAATCACGCAACACCATCACGACAATTTTATGTTGCTTTACATATATTCAACATCCCAATCAAAAATCTGTTTAATAATGAATTTATAAAAACAAAATTCATACAACTCGAGAAAAGAAAGAAAACCAGAAATAAAGGAGGAAATAAATGAATAAAAAATACAGCACGGGAAGAATATTTTCCGTATGCGACCGTCACTGCATGCAAGAAATCACAAGACAAACTACAATTGCCTCAACATCAGTATCGCAAGGCACGATAAGAAAAACGAATATTTCACCCAACAAGGGTAATCATTCACTACAAATACTATCCGTCACTGAAGAACAAAACCCATCTGCTGCACAAACAGACTGCCGGGACAAACTGCAATCGCTTCAACAGGAGTCTGTCAATGTACCGTGACAGAAATCGACACTTCACCTGATAAAGATAATTATTCAACCCAAATATGTTTAGTTTTAATCCATTTATACCACCCCGCCGAAAAAACAAGCAGAATATCATCACTGCGACCTCTTCACCAGGAAGAATGACATAAAAGACACTCCAAATACATCCTATCACAATTACATGTCGCCTTTCCCACTGTTTCCGAAGCCAGTCTTGTGGAGGAATATTCACCGAGCGCCCGAGTGACGTCACATGACTAACCCCTGTTCCAGCGAGCCTCGATCTATGCCCGAATTTCGGGGCAATGTATTTACAGGCAAGACTTTCATTACATATACTGTCTGTTGTATTCGTGTAGATCTTCCTCTTTGTATTTTAAACATTTCCATTATTTAGCGTGCGATAGGTATACAGTGGCGGAAACCTGACTACTCCTCGGCTTCATCGCCTCACCGCACCATACACCGTTCGTCGCCAGTCGCGAGTTATCAACGCAGAATCCACAATTGTATAATCATGGTTCCCAGAAGACAGATGAAAGAATGCAAATGAATAAGATAAATATACAATCTAAATCACGTGGGAACGTTACATATTTTCTAACTGCGTTTCGCTGCTTGGAGACTCACCAAGTGTCACGTATTGGACCGCCACAGTTAGTCTACATTCTGATTATCCGCTTGGATAGCATGCGTTTTCTTTCCGTTAGTAATACTACGCCCTCCGTCTCTTTGATTTGAACATTCCCAACCTTTGACACTCTCATCTCCACTTGTCCGTCTCTCCTCTTCTCTGACTTCACCCTCAACTTTGTATTGTACTCTTCTCTGACTTCCCCCCTTCATCACGATCCTTCTCCTGTGCCTGTATCCATTCTGCGGTGTCAATCTTGGTAGTAGAGATCATGGTAGTAAAGGGCATTGGTTCCAACGGAAGAGTATAGATAGTATCCACCTGGAGTGGAGCGGGCTTGTCAATTGTCAGTTCCCAGTGCTTCTGGTCTGCTTCATTCTGTTAGTCCGTATTTTTGTAGCCTTCTTCTATCAATCTAGACGCTGGATTTCAACACTCATCACGTTGTGTCTGCTATTACATTTATTGTTGTCCAGATTCCCACTGACAACAATTCCCACTGACAACAATTCCCACTGACAACAATTCCCACTGACAACAATTCTCTCTGACATGCATTCTCTTTGATATGACTTCCCTCTGGCAAATACTTCCCTCTAACATAAAGTCCCTCTGGCATGAATTCCCTCTAGCATAGATTCCTTCTCGCATAAATTCCCTCTTGCATAAATTCCCTCTTGCATAAATTCCCTCTTGCATAAATTCCCTCTTGCATAAATTCCCTCTTGCATAAATTCCCTCTAGCATAAATTCCCTCTGGCATAAATCATAAATCAGAAAACCTCGCCGATTCCACGGTTCGAACACAAGACCTGTGAATCTATAGGGTTAGATCAGGACGGCTGTATTTGGAAACCTACAATATCAATATACCATTCTCACATCAGCCATTATGGCTTACTTCAACCCATGATTTGTGGTATATGACCTGCGGTGACAATGCAGAGGGGTCGCTTCTTGAATAAATGTCGCCCGATATTTGACAAAAGTTGTGTGAGAACAGGACACGGAGGTTCAATAATCAAACCCGAGTGACTTCACATGACTAACCCCTGTTCCAGCGAGCCTCGATCTATGCCCGTCTTTCGAGGCAATGTATTTACAGGCAAGACTTTCATTCCACATACTGTCGGTTTCGGCCGTGTATATTTTCCTTCCTGCATTTTGAACGTTTCCATCATTTTGCGTGGAAAGGGTGCAGCTGCTTAGGTTGTTTGGTTGTCAGCAGTAGCCACTCTCCAGTCTCATTGCCTCGCAGTGGCACCCAGTTGTGAAGTGAAATTCGTAATTGTACAAGTATCCTTTTTATCAAATAAATACGAACAATCAAATGAATAAGATAAATATACAGTCTAAATTACGTGAGAACGTTACATCTTTCCCAACTGCGTTTCGCTGCTTGAAGACCCACGAAGACTCACATACACGACTTTCGCGGATACTCTACATGTCCACAGTCAACCCTCGCAGCCACCTCGCTTCGACCCTACACGTAGAATCACAGTCCCATATTCTCCAAATGAATCAAAAAATAACACGAATCACAAATAAATACTCAAAATAAATAATCCAAAACATCAAATCATCTCATACATAAATACATAAATGCATAAATGCATTTATCCATTGCACGTTCGCTACATGTTGCAAGGTGTCGAGTGCATTCATTCCTCCATCAACCTCCATCATGTGTGCAAAACGAAAGACACGGAATCTTCCGTGTGCAGACCTGCGAGGATTGTAGCCTGATAACCATGTAGTTAGAATGAGCCTATTTGTGTAATCAGATGGCACAGCTTATTTTTATTTGTTTATTCAGGGTGGAGTTGTTTATGGAATCGTGGCAATTTGGGGGAAGGAGGGGGGAAGAGAAGAGCGGATGATGGGAGATTACAAATGAAGGAGGCGGAATTGGCAAAAGTTAAGAGAATAGTACGAACAGATAATGAGGGATGTGGAAAGATAATGAAGAGTATTGGTGAATAAAGCGATGAGAAGGAGTAAGATAATAAAGGATTACGAGGCAATGCGAAAGAGAATTGGACAGTGCATGTGAATAAGGAAGAATGGAAAAACAATCACAAAACACTACGAACGAAGAAGCAGGAATGGGAGGAAAGAATAAAACAGTGCGAAGGAATGAATAGAGGAGAAATGGTGATGAAGATATGGCAGTCAACGTCACCAAGGCAGGATAGAAAACCAACCATAAACCACTACGGACGAAGAAGTAGGAATAGCAAAGCAGAGGCAGGATAATAGGAAAGTAAACATGAATAGACAGACAAGAAAAGGAACCATACAACTACGGATGAAATAGAAGGAATCGGAAGAATAATGAGATGATTCGAGGAACGAAGAAAGGGTGATAAAACAACTACATCGGAAAGAAAGAGGGAATACCAAAAGTGAAAAGCACTCACAATAAGTATGAGGGAATAGAGATAACCGAATAAAGAGTGGTAGAAGAGCAAGCTGAAAACGAGGAGAGATTACCAGAAGGGATCAGTGATCAAGTAAGCAAGAAGAAATTGAAGAGATCAAGAGAGAGAGAGAGGAAGTCACACAATTAATCAGGGACGATGAGAGGGATAATAAAACAGTACAACTGAAAAATTGGGAATTGGAAACGACAGTTAACGAGTACGGAAGGAATGGGAATGATGATAGGAGAAATATATAGTTTGTTAATATATAGTTTATTTTTTTATATAATTTGTTGATATATAGTTTGTTATTATATAGTTTGTGGATATATAGTTTGTGAATATATAGTTTGTTGATTAAATTCATTCGATATTTACAGCGTATTTCTGCATTTTAGTCCAGAAGCATAGTGTAAAATTCGTGCCATGGAGGCTCTGGTGTGGCGATGAGGCCGGGTGACGTTGCCGTGAAGCCGAGTGACCCCACATGAACCGTGATACAGAAACCACCTTCCGCCATCCCACCATCCTTTTGCCAACATTGCAAAGCAACAAATCAAAAAAATACAGCCAGCATTGCAGCAAAAAGAGCCCACGGCTGGAATTGAACCAGCGTCCTTCTCAAAGCTTAACATGACGTTTCGTGCCATCAGTCGGCAGTACTGAGCCTGTCACAAGTGAGATATGATACCACTACACCACGCGGGCACCTGGTTAACCATACATGTCAGAACTAATACTTATGCCCGTCCAAAACAAGGAAAAAAAGCACGTGAAACGATTTACCCTCCCATATGCAGCTCATCTTGCCCATTACCTCCACTTTCAGCGTGCACAATCTGTCACATCCATCACCATGTACTCCCGGAATCACGCAACACCATCACGACAATTTTATGTTGCTTTACATATATTCAACATCCCAATCAAAAATCTGTTTAATAATGAATTTATAAAAACAAAATTCATACAACTCGAGAAAAGAAAGAAAACCAGAAATAAAGGAGGAAATAAATGAATAAAAAATACAGCACGGGAAGAATATTTTCCGTATGCGACCGTCACTGCATGCAAGAAATCACAAGACAAACTACAATTGCCTCAACATCAGTATCGCAAGGCACGATAAGAAAAACGAATATTTCACCCAACAAGGGTAATCATTCACTACAAATACTATCCGTCACTGAAGAACAAAACCCATCTGCTGCACAAACAGACTGCCGGGACAAACTGCAATCGCTTCAACAGGAGTCTGTCAATGTACCGTGACAGAAATCGACACTTCACCTGATAAAGATAATTATTCAACCCAAATATGTTTAGTTTTAATCCATTTATACCACCCCGCCGAAAAAACAAGCAGAATATCATCACTGCGACCTCTTC